GACGCCACTTTTCGGGATGTCCTGTACGATCGTATGACCGAGATATTCTCCTTCGAAAAGCCCGAACTTGACGTCATGTTTGCTGCCGGGGTTCCTGCGCCACTTGTTGTCGTTGACATTTTCGCCGACGGAAAGGATCCTCTCAACGTCCTCCAGGACTATAACAAAGAAAAGGGACTGAGCCTTGATGAATCGGAAATGGCGTACCTTGTCGACGTGTTCAAGAAGCTCGGCCGCTCGCCTCACGATGTGGAGCTCTTCATGTTTGCCCAGGTCAACTCGGAACACTGTCGCCACAAGGTATTCAACGCCAACTGGACAATTGACGGTGTTAAGAAGAATAAGAGCTTGTTCGAAATGATCCGAAACACACACAAGAAGACCCCTGATTATACCGTTTCGGCTTACAGCGATAATGCCGCTGTTCTTCAGGGTGAATCTGCGAATTTTTGGGCCCCCGACTACTCTACTGGAACTTGGACAATGACTCCCGAAGTTGCCCATATTTTGGCCAAGGTCGAGACTCATAACCACCCTACTGCGATTTCACCTTTCCCCGGTGCCGCCACCGGCTCTGGTGGTGAAATTCGAGACGAAGCTGCTGTCGGACGCGGCTCCGTGACGAAGGGTGGTCTTGCCGGTTACTGGGTTTCTGATCTCCTGATTCCCGATCATCGAGCTCCTTGGGAGGTTGATATCGGCCGCCCCGCCCACTACGCCAGCAGTTTAGACATCATGCTTGAGGCCCCTATCGGCAGTGCTCGCTTCAATAACGAATTTGGCCGCCCTTGTCTTACGGGCTGCTTCCGAACGCTTCTTACTCCCGAAACTCCCGCCGAAGGTGCTAAAGCTGAAGCTTCAGCATGGCGCGGATACCACAAGCCCATTATGCTGGCTGGTGGTGTTGGCACAGTTCGCCCTTCTAACGCACTGAAAGAGGAGCGATTTGTCCGCGAAGGTGCCCACGTCATTGTTCTTGGTGGCCCGGCCATGTTGATTGGCCTCGGGGGCGGTGCTGCGTCCAGTAATGCGTCCGGTGAGAGTAATGCTGATTTGGACTTTGATAGTGTGCAGCGTGGAAATCCAGAGGTTGGCTCATTCTGAAACTGTGTTTGAATGCCTTCATTTTGCTAAATTCTTGCACCAGATGGAACGCCGCGCCCAAATGGTCATCAATACCTGCACTGCTCTTGGCGAACAGAACCCGATTGCCATGATTCACGATGTTGGAGCTGGCGGCCTCTCCAATGCCTTGCCCGAGCGTACGTTTTGACCCCTCACCATTTAGCGCTGCTTCGCTCCGTTCAATTTAGCCCCTAACATGTTGTACAGTTGTCAAAGATGCTGGTTTCGGCGGCAACTTCGAATTACGCCAAGTCGAGAGTGCTGACAGAAGCATGAGCCCTTTGCAGATCTGGTGTAATGAGGCTCAGGAACGCTATGTCCTACTCATTAATCCCGAAAACATGAATCGCTTCACTAGCATTTGCCGTAGAGAACGTTGTGGATTCTCAGATGTTGGAGCTGTTGCCACCAAGGATGCAAATGGAGACGCCAAGTTGATTCTCACAGACCGCGAATCCAAAGAATATCCTCGCCCCATTGACCTGCCAATGGATGCACTATTCCCACCAAAGCATCAGCAGGAACGAAATGTCAACACGAAGAAGGCCAATCTGACACCTTTTGATGCCCTGGCCAGTCTTCGAAAGGCATTTGGAGCCGACCTAGACAATGCAACGCTGGTGAAGAAAACGGTGGAACGGGTCTTCCTCATGCCCGCAGTGGGCTCGAAGTCTTTCCTCATCACCATTGGAGACAGAACTGTCGGTGGTCTTACGGCTCGTGATCAATTCGTTGGACCCTGGCAGACTCCAGTGGCCGATGTTGCCGTGACAGCTACTTCATTCAGCCTTGGTGGAAAGCAGAGAACTGGCGAGGCCATGGCCATGGGTGAGAAACCGACTCTGGCTCTCATAAACCCCGGAGCCTCTGCCAGAATGGCTGTCGCAGAGAGCTTGATGAACATTGGTGCTGCAGATGTAATGGGAGACTTGCGCAGAGTCAAGCTCTCGGCCAACTGGATGGCAGCTGTCAGCCACCCTGGCGAAGGTGCGGCTCTTTATGAGGCTGTCGAGGCTATTGGCATGGAAATGTGCCCTGAACTTAACGTCAGCATTCCCGTTGGAAAGGATTCAACGTCTATGAAGGCTGTTTGGAAGGAACAGAACGAAGTGAAGAGCGTAACGGCCCCCGTCTCTGTGGCTATTTCGGCTTTCGCGGTTGTGGAGGACATTTTGAGCACATGGACCCCTCAGCTCCGAAGAGTTGAAGAGGTTGGAGAGTCTATTCTGGTGTTTGTTGATCTGGCAGAAGGTCGACGAGCCATGGGAGGCTCAGCGTTGGCCCAGTCGCTCGGTGCAATTGGAAATGAGGCCCCCGACATGAAGAACTTCAACCTCATTACCGACTATTTTGATGCTCTGTCGCAACTTCATAAGAGTGGCGTTGTCCTGGCGTATCATGATCGCTCTGACGGAGGGTTGATCACAACCATTGCCGAGATGATGTTTGCTGGTCGCTGCGGTGTTGACATGATGATGGATGGTATCTCGAAGAGCGGCTCGGCTGGCGACATGATTGAAGCCTTGTTCAATGAGGAGCTTGGTGCTGTCTTCCAGGTCAAGGCGTCTGATGAGATCAACTTTAAGCGATGCTTCGCCACCTGCGGCCCCCCTCCTGGCCTGATTCGCAAGTTTGGAGTCGTCAAGGCTAGCCCTAACCAGTCTTTGACTATCCGCCATGGGGCGACCACGTTTGCCAATCTTGATCGCGCCGAAATGCAACAGTGGTGGTCCAAGACATCCCACCAGATGCAGCGGCTCCGAGATAACCCTGCCTGCGCTGACTCCGAATACGCCACAATTTCCGATGTGTCTGACCCTGGCCTCTCTTACCACTTGACTTACTCACCATCCGAGAACATTTTGCCACTCACATCCTCCATTACTGGATTTTTCAACAAGAATCCTCGAGTCGCTGTTCTCCGAGAACAGGGTGTGAATGGATATGCTGAATTGGCTTTCGCTTTCAGAGCTGCCGGGTTCGAGCCGGTTGATGTTCACATGACTGATGTCCTTGGAGGGCGGTCTCTTGCTGACTTTACCGGTATTGCCGCCCCGGGTGGATTCTCATATGGCGACGTTCTCGGTGCTGGCCAAGGCTGGGCCAGGTCTGTTTTGATGCATGAGAGCACACGCCGCGAGTTTGAGCATTTCTTCAGGCGTCCCGACACCTTTGCTCTTGGTGTCTGTAATGGCTGTCAGTTCCTGACTCGGATCCAGGAGCTCATTCCTGGCACGGCACACTGGCCAACCTTTGTTCACAACGAGAGTGCTCAGTTCGAGGGTCGATACAGCATGGTGACAATCCAGGAAGATGAGAGCAAGCCCTCCGTCTTCTTCCACGGCATGAACGGCTCATCACTCCCTGTGGTTGTGTCTCATGGCGAAGGAAGAGCCAAATTCTCCTCTCCAAACTCCCTGCAGGAACTGACCAACTCGGGCATGATCCCCATGCGTTATGTTGACAACAGGCTGAAGGTCACTGAGAAATATCCTTACAACCCCAACGGCAGCCCCGGGGGTATTGCTGGTGTCTCGAGCAGGGACGGCCGTTTTGTTGCCATGATGCCTCACCCTGAACGAACAATCGTTGCTGGCGTAAACAGCTACATTCCCCCCAAGGCCACCGAGGAGTGGGGTGACTTTGGTCCCTGGGTTCGAATCTTTAAGAGCGTCCGTAGATGGGTTGGTTAAGTGGTCTAGGGGCACGAGAATTTAAAAAAAAAAAAAAAAACCAAGAGATGGAGCAAGCCAGGCATCATGAAAAGACAAAAATACCAGAGGGTTATTTTATTAATGATATGGGTGACTTTCCTTTATTCTACTGCACAGGTAGCAATGACAATTTATAGACATGGGCTCAAGCTATTGAGAATATAATGAATGACAAACCAAGACACACTGTGATAGGGGTCATAGTTCATGTCGGATGGCCACCGCGTCGAGTGAAGCTACCAGACACTGCAAATAAAGTCCGTGGATATCGTGGATTCATGCCACGCCACTCTTCGACTCACTTATAGCCACTCCCCGTCCGTCGAGTAAACACTCCCGCTCACAAAGCTATTCTCTGGGCCAAGAAGTAAAACCGCCACCTGCAATCTAAGCCTGCTGTGCATGGGTGTGTATGCGGTCCCCGGCGCAACGGCGTTGACCCGGACCCCGATGCCCATTTCAATGCTTCCTCTGCCGCGGCTCTCGCAAGTCCCATGACGCCGTGTTTTCTGGCACCATATGCGCTGTGATACGCTATTTCTAGATTGTGCGCGGCAGCACCTGAGCCAAAACCTTGATGCAGGAATTCAAGCGCGGCAGCGTAGTGGCAGTCTCACCATTCCATGGACAGAAGTCATGTTTACAATGGCGGCCCCCGTCCGCAATGGCCCTCAAGCAATACACGCACCCCGTCGGATCGACCCCTATGATGGACTCCCACTCGTCGTCATCCAGGTCCGCGAGAGTAACCCCAAAACCGTGGTTCTCGCCTATCACGCCCGCTTGTTAGCTGCGCTGCCTAACCTGCCGTGCTGCCCAATGATCCCGGCCATCGACTTGCTCACGCTTAGACACATCAATGCGTGTAGTGGAGGAGGCAGCATCGACGGAGGCGAGATGCGCCGAGAAGGAGTAGAGCAAGGGCTCAAGGGCTCCGAGTTGTTGGCGAGGCATCACCACCAGACTAGTCAAGGGGGTGTGTGTCATGAAGAGCAACACCGGGGTTTATGGCACGGCGACGGGGCCAAATCGCAGAAACATGACGGGGTTGTAGTAGGAACGCAGCTCGATTACAGGTTACAATGTAGATTATCGTTGCTTACGCCCATCAGATGACCTGTCCCGCTCATCACCAGCCATTGCTCCCTCGGCAACAAGCTCCTACAGGGCTGGCCCGTCCCAGAATTCCCGCCGCAGCTTCACGAACCAAGCTTGTTTGTGAGGAAACGCAACCTGCTTCTCCTTGGAGAAGCCGCACGCGTCCAAGTGTCGCAGCACCCTGCGCCGAGGTCAGCACTTGTTCGTACGAAAGGGGGAGAGAAACATTTAACAGAGACAAACACACACACGCACCTCTGATTATCGACCCTCGGCTCCAGACATACATTCATGGTCCTCTGGTCGGCCGTGAAGCAGTAGTGCACCAGGCTCGTGAGCCAGGCGGCCACCCTGCCCCTGGACCACTCCTCCCCAACCATGATGTGGACGCCGCGGTCCCAGTCGCCCGCCTCGTCGCCCACGTGGCGGCCGAGAATGTCCTCCTTGACCCAGTACAGCTCAAAGTATCCAAAGGGGACGCCGTCCCACAGGCCAATCACCGGGAAGGAGTGCCGCGAGCACAGCGCTGTCTCGAGGAATTCGGGGGTGTAGCTGCCCCAGAAGTCCCTGTAGCTGCCCCAGAAGTCCCTGCCCCGCTGGCTCGCGAACCACGACTGGAGGAGATCTCGGTCGCTCATGGAGGACAGGTGGCTCTGCTCCGGGGGGTTGGGCCCCAGCGGCCCGAGGTAGGGTACCGGCGAGGCCGAGGCCGAGGCGACCCGGAACGACAGGTACTGGCCCAAACTGTCGATGAAGCGGGTGTAAAAGACCTCCCCCATCCGCGGGGGCTTGGGCCGCAACGGGTGGCGCGCGCCGTTGGTGTAGACGTACTGCAGCGGCGGGGGGGGGAGACGTACTGCAGCGGCGGCGGCGGGAAGTAGGTCGGCAGATGGGATGAGGAGAAGTACGGCCCGATGGGGAACGCCGGCGCGGCCGCGACGCTCGTCGGCATAGGCGCGCCCGGCACATCGGCGGCCAGCTGTCCGCCGCTGGGCGTCAGGGCGCCCGTGGGTGTGAGGGCCGGCGTCTGCGACTGTGACTGCGATTGCGACTGCGAGTACATCGGACGCACGTCCAAACGCCCCGGGTCCTCCTTGATGGGCGAGCCCGGGCGACTCGTGCCGGGGGAGCCGGGCATGTCGGCCCCCCGGACGGGCTGCAGCGTGAACAGGAACAAGTTTGCCGGGATCTGCCAGAACATGCGCTTTGAGACAAACATGTTGGTCCAACCGTCGCCGCTGTCGTCGACGCAGGTCCCCACGGCCGTGTCCTCGGAGGCAATCAGCCCCATCCTCTCCAGCTTGGGGATTAGATTCCTCCCGCGGAGCACGCCGTCCCTCTTGATGCGAATCCTCCACTCGCCGACGGGCTTCGCGCCAGCGGGCGTGTCCTTGGAGGCCGCCGTGTGCAGTTCCCTGTCCGGAGGCGGTTGGTGAAAGTACCAGTACAGGGTGATCCAGAGCATCATGGCGATCTCCCTCGTCGGGCTAGCAGCTGGCTTGAACTCTGCGTCGGAAGGGATGGAGATGGACGAGATGAAGAGCGTGTCGTTCTGCAGCGTAGGCCTGGTGAAGGGCTTGGTCCGCCTTTTTGTTTGGGGCGGCAGGTTCTCGTCGTGGTCTTTCTGGCCCTCGCCGCCGTTGGGGCCCTCAAACTCGACCCTGTCTTCTTCGGTGTGCAGCACCGTCATCCAGCCTCCGGGATACGGATGGAGCAGGTTATGGTGATTATGGCTGCGGAACCCCAGGCCGCCAAAGACGGGGGCGACGGTGAACTTTTTGCCATCGGGCAAGTGTAAGATCTGGGGCGTCATGGTGCCGCAGAGATGTTTTGATTCATACCAGCCCCAAGACAGACTGGGTTTGAGTATGAATAGCAAAACAAACAATGGAAAGAGAAAAAGAAAGGGGGCCGAGAAATATTTAGAGTGAAGGCCAGGGCTCACGGCTGAACAGAGGTGAAGTGATCAAGGCGATGATGCCCCGCTCTGGGGTCCAGTCTGGAGTAGTTGGATGAGTGACTGGAGGGGGCGCTGCAGCGCTATGAGGAGAGGAAGGAAGAGAGGACTGAGGACTCGGGAGAGGCAGGTGGGGTGATCGAGGATTCGAGCCAGGCCAAACAAAGCCAACCGTGCCATGTCCTGCCGCTCAATAATTGCCTTGCTCGCCATCTCGGCAAGAGCAGAAAGCGCCAAATTGCATCAAATAAATGGATAAAAACACAGCCTTGGTGTGATACTCCGAGCCGGGCCTGACCATGGCCCGGGTTGCGCCGAGACGGGCCAATCACGCGATGCGTGTTTCCAACAGCATGACCAACACCAGGAACCGCATTTGGCCGATCTTGACCAAGGCCTTCTCGGACATTGGGTGCCTGTCGGGGGCGGGGCTTGTGTGCACCGTGGGCTGACCGTGGATGCTCCCGTTGTGACAGATGTGACCAGAAGGGAAGTTCTATGCTACAGTGACGAGACGCCGGGGTTTTTTTGCGGCTATTGCGTCCATCTTTGTCACAAGTGCGTCACCGCATGATTGGCCTGTGATGGCTGATAAATGCCATGAAATCTATTGAATGCCGAGTACGCCGTGTTGCCAGCCAAACGTGGACTCGACACTTGATGCTCCGCAAAGGCTCATGTCAAGACGTCTTGGAACTCTCTGATCTCTTCCTTTTGCGCTCTTGGCCTTGGCCATGGCCCTGGCCCTGGTCATCGTCATCGCCGTCATCATCCTCCTCCTCCTGCTCTCGCTTCCTTTCCTTGCCACTCTTCTCCTCCTCCAATGCCTCTTTGACTTCCTCACCCCCCAAATCCTTCATTTCATCCCACTCCACGCCGTATTCCGTAGCGGCAAACTTGATCTCTCGTCGAAGACCATTGGCGTCATGTACGAGTTGGTCCCATTTCGCCGGGTCGAACCCCCGTTCTTGATACAGAGCGTTTTGCCGCCTTGAAACCGTCACGTTCATGGCCGCCTTGTAGCTCAAGTCCCGGCTGATGAACAAGAACCACAGATAGCCGCCCATGATGCTGGCCAGTCCCGCGAGGTAGGTAATGGGCTCGACCAGGTCCCAGCCCATGTCGGTGTGAAATGTCACATAGTAAACAATCCCCCACCAGCCAGCCAACGCCGCGAAGCCGCCCTTGGCGAGTGCATGAGCACCCTTGTGCGCCAATAGATCGCACTCCCGCTTCACCGTTGCCATCTGGTCAATCTCCTGCGACATTCGCCGCAGCCTCATTCGCATGTAGTATGTTCTGTCCTTGAAGCTCGGCACGGCAACTCGCAGCTCCTCGCCGTGCCCCTCGATCGTGACGGAAAACTCGCGGCCACGAGCGGCGTCTCTAATAAAGTCGCCAATCTCGGTGCTTCCACTCCATCGGACCCAGTGAGTGTCGCCTTTGCTTGGCCCCTCACGCCCGAGACCAGAATAAGATGCAACATTGGACCCGTTGCCATTCGACTCCCCCCTTTTCTCATCACTCTTGTTGCCGCCCGTGTAGTCTGCCTCGGCCCGGAAGATGATTTCGGGCAGTTTCTCGCGATCCTTTACCCGAAGAGGGGGGATTTCGGCCTGAATGAGCCTCTCCAGGTAGGAGAGCGGCTGCTGCGGATGGACGAGCAACGCTAGAGGCTCAACCGCTTCTTGTTTCGGCTTGTTTGTCTTGGTCTCGTTCGAATTGATGTATTCTTGCTCGGGGTGAAAGGGGATGGGGAGGATGAGCTTCAGCAGTCGAGTGGGAGTTGTTAGCAGACGACCTGCGACGAGCAGTTAGCGCCTCTCGTGTCGCGGAAACAAGGATGAGCAGGCCCTTGACTTCCACAGACCTTTGGTTGCATCTCCCCCGGTCGGGTCAGGCGAGGTCGACTTGGGCAGCGATCCACTGCTCTCACGATGCCACGGCCTGTCATCGACCTTTCGCTGTGTTGAACCGCGGCCGCGAGCCTCGTCCCGGGGGCTAGTGTGGTTGGTATGCCTTGTGCTGGAACTTGAAAACTGAAGCTTGAGAGCACTAGGCGCTATCATGGGCCACGGTGAAGCTCTCCAACAGCCAGCTTGCGGGTTGCCCAAGCTCACGGCGGGCGACCAAGCCATCTTTTTGGCGGCCAACGTGGTGCCACGGATGACATGGCCCATGGCGCCGTGCAGAATTCAAGCGCGAGCGGCAATTGTGCAGGCACGGCGTGAAAAGGCCACAGATAAAAGCAGTGCGGTCCAGCAACCTCTGTGGGCGATGCGAGGTCAATGGAATTAATTGATGGTCGCGTGTGCAGCCATGATTGCTGAACGTGACGGTGCGCATCTGTGCATCTGTGCATCTGCTGGTATAATGACGTCACCAGCGCCAGACGGTACAGACGTCATGTGGTCGGCTCGCAAGTGCCGCGGCTTGCCGCTCCCAGGCCCAGGAACAAGACGGCAGTCGCTTGCTGGTGCTCACTGCTCGCTGCTCACTGTCTGGAGGCGCACGCAAACTTCGGCGGGGCGCCGACGGCATCACCTCTTCATGTTTAAGCTTCGAGCCGTGCACGTGGCTCCCAGCCTCCAACTGTCTACTATGCAGTGACTTCTCCGTGCCGGCATCCTGATCGATTTGAAAGCTTCATGTACCCCGCTGGCGACACGAGAAAGCAGCAGACGAAATAGACCTGCAGAGCTGCAGAGTCCAGACAATATTGTACCAGAGTAACCAGACACTTGTAGACGGCTGTCCTAGCTCTTTTGACTTGGCCTCACTTGACTTACCGAGTCTTTTCATTATAATTCTGCCAAAAAAAAAACCAAGAAAACTCCCAATGTCTTTAGAATGTGTACATTCTACCATGTAAGAAGACGGTGCATTTTGATGGTCCGCGTAGTTACTTAGAGTTCTTCGAATTAGTAGTTCTACCCTTGCTCTTTGTGGCGGTGTCATGATATATTACAGCAGAACTCGACGGGTAGTCAACCTTTGCCAGCGTAACTGCATAATTCTTTGAGTGTCTGGTTGTTCAAGTACATCGGTGGCCATGTTCAGTGCCATCTGCTAGGAGTTGTTCTGCTTGAATGCCCTCTGATACGTACCTTGGCGTTTGACGTCTTGTGCCAGTGTTCACATTGGCATTACATTATTTCGGTCCAACCTAACGACGATAAGATTCAGCCAAAGAGCTCCATAAAGTTCCACAGTGTGCCGTAATAGTCAATTCCATCACCATCCCTCGCTCTCTCGTAGCCCCCATGTACTTGTCCAGCAAAGTGTCCTTGCGTCTTTCAACTTTGATACCGCCTGCCCTAGTGTGTGGCATCTCGTATAATTCAAGTAGCATTCTCAAAAGTACCAGGTTAAGCCTACTAGACAATGCTAGGCCATTATAGTGCCATGTTTAGTTAGCCGGTCCTTTGCGATATGCTTCAGCTACTTGCAAAATCCAAAGTATATGGGCAAGCCTTTAATCCCAGCCCTCTGGGGAAAAGACATATACATGCTCAGCTGCCCAGTCTCTTCGTCTTCCATGTTCTACAAAGACGTACTCTAATTCGCTTTTCTGTATTACTACTGTCAGCTACGAAAACACCAACGTCACAGTCTCTTTTCACAGTCATCATGCCCCCGAGTTCGCCCTTGGCCTCAACATCTTCAACCATGGCTCCTACTTTCGGTGCAAGGTTGACGCTTCCAATACGTTCCCGACGTGCAAGTCTTGCATCACGCCCCCGGCCCATCTATGAGTTTCCGCCCTTGTCTACGGAAACGGGCCATGCACGAACGGCCTCAAACACTATACTTGCGCTCGACTTGTCACGCAACGAAACTTCTACGCCACTTGACTCGCCAGTGCCATTCGCCTCTAATACCATAACCGCTCTCGATTTGGCATCCGTCAACCACAGACGTATCCGACCTGGCCCACGAGGGCCACTGACCGAGAGCGCACTGTTGGCTCACAACGTGGCATACGACGGACCCTCAATCCTATGTAACTGGGCAAGAGTATCCTCTGTAGCTGGAGTCGCCCGCAATGGCGAAGAAGCACCTCGACCGACCCCAGTTCCGGCGTATCTGTACCGCACCCCGGTCATGCCTCCTATGCAGCGTTGGTTCCCGAGTATCGTAAACGCTCGACAACGAACGCGTTGTGACAGAATGATGCTACGTGCGGGAGTCGAGGTGTTGTATACCCGGGCCGCCCTCATGGCTGACAACTCGCGCCTCAACTGGGAGATGGACTTCATGGGATACTTCCGCTGGAAGCCATGGAGCAGACAAAGCGGCGAAGAACTTGTCAAATGGGCCCATGACCATGATCATGATTACTACTGGAGCTCCCAGGCCAAAGAAATCTTTGAAAAGGCCTCGCAGAGTGGCTATCCGCACAAGAGATACTACCCAGCATTCGAGGGAGGAGCCGTCTTGGACCAGTTCACTTATCGCATCCAAAGTATGCTTCTAGACGCCAGAATTCTCAACCTCGTCGTTGCGAGAATCCACACGGACTATTACATCGTCGTGCCCGTTGGCCTGAGCCGCCCGGTGTACAACGCCAACGAATTTAGTCCGCTGGAACAGACCTTTATTTCCACGTGGTATCCTTTCTGCTTTCTCCTTTTGGCAGACCTGCCCGGCGAGGATCGGTACTTGACTTTCCGTCGCGAGTTTATGCGTGTCAGCAACACGCTCAGGGGCTACTATATCGAGCGAACACCCTATTGGCGTGGTTGCTCTAGCCTCTGATCGACTTCAATCGGTTAGGGGCCCAATGGACTCCAACTTGTCGTAATGAATGTATATGTCGGTGCCCTGGATGAAGATGGTAGCAAAGCGCATCACTT